CATCCGCCTCCCTCCCAGCCCTCCAGCACGGGTGGCAGAGAAGTCCTTCCCGGCTGGTGCTGTTGGGATGGGACAGCTGCTGCCGCATCCGATTAAACTGCCTCTTCATCATCTTGAGAGCTGAGAGGAGATCACAAGAGCTGCTCCGCTTGGCTGTGCCTGCTCAGCACCCCTCAGTGACACCTGGCATCAGATGCTGGTGGCCCCTCGGCTCCCCAGAGCCGCTCTGCCCCTTGCTTTTCCCTAAGAACCTCTCCTTCCTTACTCTTCTTCCTCCTTCCCCCTTTTTCTGTTTCTCCGGCAGGTCCTCTCCCTTATCCCTCCCTGGGAATGCCCTGCCTGCTTTCCTTTCCCCTCCCTTGGACTCCCTTCTCTCACTCCCTCTCTTCTACTGAGCTTCCTTCCTCCTCAGTCTGCCCCTCTGCTGCAGATCAGGTAAGAGCAGTTCAGGGCTCCTGCTCCGCTCTGTGTTCCTGTCACCACCCCACAAGTATAAATAACTTCAGCCCAGTCTTAAAGGGGAAATATTATTACAGCAAACACGTAACAAGGCAGGACAAGCACACGCTGCTTCCGAGCGCCAGCGAAGGGCCCACGCTCTGTTTCTTACTCTCTTATTTCTTACCCTCTGTCTCAGCCCGGGTGTTTTTTTTCCCCCTGGCCTTGCCCATCACCAGCTGTGCTTTGGGCCAGCCCATGGCAATGCCAGCTGTCTGGGTGACTCATCAGGGGTGCCTATGTACACCCTGCCCTACTTGGTCACCTGAACTCTGCCAACACCCCTTGGGCACCCCTCCGTGCTCACAGCTGCATCTCCAGCCTCTTCCCCCTCATGACACATCCCCCTCACCGCGACAAAAGCAGGAGGGCGAGCAGCAAAGCCACCCCTGCAACCATTCTTGTGCCCCACTTTCCCTCCCTGCCGTTGTTGCCAAGGCTCTCCAGAGCCACCACAAAGCTGTGGCCAAGAGCTGTTGCCTCACGCCCTGGGGAGGCCCCTTCCTCCTCCCCGCTCCCCGCTCCCTGCTGCTGGCGGGGGCCCTCCGAGCAGGGCGGCACAGTCACACGGGAACCACAGCCTCACGGTTCCCAGGCTTGGCTGCTGCTTGTTCTCTGCAGGGCTGCACCAAGGCTCAGCAGGTTTTTTTATTATTTTTTTTTGGTGTTTTGGGTCTAAGAACGTCCCCCCTCACAGCACCACCGCCTTTGCTCCTGGGTTTACAAGCTGCAAACCTCGCTGTCAGCTCTGGCTACCTGCAGCTGGGACTTTCCTCCCTCAAGCGGAGGTTGCTGGTGGCTGGGTAATGTGGCTGGCAAAGGAACTAGCACCCCAGCCCAGAAGGGAAGCGGTCAGTCTGGGGGCAGATGAGACAAGCAGCAAAGGAAAAAGAGGCAGAAGGGCCGTGCTACCTGTGCCCTGAAGCTTGAGGAGCAGTAATTTGGGGGTTGCTGAGCTCTGCTCCTTGGTGGTGGAGGGGTGAACCTCCACGCGTGTGTAGCAAAGCAGTGCTGAACCTTTTAAGCAGGGACAGAGCAAGTGAGCGCTGTTCTTCCTGCCTGAACACCAGGTTGCTGTAAACCTGCGGCCAAGCACATCTGATCCCCCAGCCATGAGCCCTGGGGGTGCTCCTAATGGGCACTGTGGTGGCTGAAGGCAGGCAAGGGAGTCAAGCACCTATTGAAAAGGCACAGAAAATCCCCCGCAGACCCTTACTGGCTGCATCAGATGGCTGCCAAGCTGTGGCCTCTTTTCTCCCATGCACTGTCAGAGACCTGCTGCCAGCCTGGGGCTGCTGCCTGTACCCCTGCAACAAAGCTGCCCCAGGGAGCTGCTTTTAGAAGCAGCTCTGGCAAAGAGGAGGAAATGTCACCATAGGCACTGGTGAATCATAGAATGGTTTGGAAGGGACCTGAAAGATCACCTAGTTCCAAGCCCCCCTGCCAATGACTAGGGCACCTTCTGTCAGATTAGGTTGCTCCATGCCCCATTCAACCTGGCCTTTGAAGCTGCTGCCATGCATTCAACCTTTGAATGCATGGCAGTGAGATCAAGCCCTGCTCCCCACAGGCTGTAGGACACCAATCCCTGCCCACCACCTCTCACCAGGGAGGGAAGCAAGAAACACCCAGCTCACAGCCTAGAAATGACTTCGCTCTCAAACAGGAATTGAGAGCAGCTGGGGGACTTCCACCAGCCCCTCTCCCTATTCATGGGACTGAGGAAATAACCATGGCAAGGCCCTGGGTGACTTACAAGATTGCAGGGATAAGATTTGAGCTGGAGCTGGCAGCTCGCAATGTGCAATCAGCTCCTCTGCAGTCAGGGGAAAATGCATTTCTTGGGTCAAAAGCCAGAGGGACAGAATCAGGAAAGAACTCTTTTATTTCCCATAAATACAGCAGAATCTTCGCGCCGGGCGTTTCGTTTTAAATCTTTTTGTTTGTTTTCTTCCATGTACATAATTTTGCACTGAAAATATATACAAGTCTGTTCAAGAACCAAACAAGATCTGCAAAGAAAAAAACCCAACCCATACAAAACCCTGAAAAGAGACCAGAAAGGGAAGTAAGACAGCAGAACCCTACCATAAAGACCTTGCTTCCCCCTCTCCTCTACCACTTGCTGCACCCACCTCCAAGACACCTCACCTCTGCTGTCCCCATCCCAAAGCACGAGGCACCCCCATGCTCCTCCATCTCTCACAAGCCTCCTACTACCTCTGGAAAGTCAATGCAGGGCACACCTTACCCACGGCTTTTAAGATCAGGCCTTGTTAAAACCAGTTTAGGGACGGGGATCACTTGGCAAGTGCCACCCCCTGGTCTCCTCCCTGCCTGCAGATCCTCGCTCTTGTGTCACAGTGATCGGGCGGCTGGGGCGAGCCCCCTCCCCACCGCAGGGAGCCAGGCTGCCCCCAGCTGCGGGCGAAGGTGCGCAAGGCACAGCTGTACCCCCCCCTCCCAGTACCCCCACAGTGCAGAGCTGGGTTCCCAGTGCTGGGCTTTCCGTACAGAGCTCACTGGTGCCCTCTGGTGATGGGCTGGGCTCCAGTCTCTCTCCCTCGACTCCCAGCCCATCCCCTACCCCACAGCGAGAGGACACTGAAGAGCTGAGAAAGCCCCCTGCCCCACCACGCTCTCCAGCCCGGCCAGGGGGAAGAAGACCATGCGCTGCTTCCTCTCCCTGTTGGGCAGGAGGCTGCGGGCAGACTCGGCATGCCCACTGCCCCCAGCACATCCCCTCCTCATGGCTGCCCTGTGGGACAAAGTCCCACAGCAGGCCCCAGAGCTCAATGTGGTAAATAAAGCACATGGGAAGCAGAGGGGTGGTGGTGGGGGGAGTATCACTGCCCAGGAGCTCCAGCTGAAGGGGATGGGAAGGCACAGTGCAAACCCTTCCCAGCGCCCCAGCTCCCATGCTTCACCAACAGCTCTGTAAGCAGCTGGAAGGAGGGGATATGGGAAGATCACTCCCTCCTGACCTCCCCAAGGAAGGGCACCTGCCTGCTCCCTGGAGCTGGAGGGACACCCAGTTTCTGTCCAGCCTTGTTCTACACTAGCTCCAGTGAGATCCCACAAGACAGGGAACCCACTGGGGCCCAGCTCCATGAAGGGGGCAAGGGGAACAAGAGGAAGCACCACAGAGCACGAAGCAGCTGAAGGGCTGGGAATCACAGAAGGGACAGACAAGGAAAAGGACCGTCCCTTGCTAGGCCTTGCCTCAGGCTGAGGCTGTTAAGCTCCCCATCCCTGTTCCCCACTGTACCTGGAGGGAAAGCAGGGCTAGAAGAGGAGCTGGGCAGACTGGGGAGGGAGCGATGCCTTTGGAAGAGCAGGGAAGGCAACTGTTCACCCACACAAAGCTTTCCACTCCACTCCTAGTCTTGTGGGATGAACATCTCCTGGCATCTCTGCTCTACTCCTCGAGGCACACTCCCTCTGGCCCTCACCCGGCCATCTGTAGAATAGAGCGTGAGCAGCAGCCCCCCACCCGCCCTCTCCATCTCCTCGGGCTCCTCCAGCCCCACAGGGCCAGCTTCCCAAGGACACTGCACTGTAGTGTCTGCAACATCTGCCCTAGAGGTTTCCCCAGGACTCTGGTGGAGGGAACTGGTCCACATCCCCCATTTCATTGTAGGTTTGCTCTCCCATGGTGAATGTCAGCTTGTATCGTAGCCTCACTTTCTCCTGGAGACAAGGGAGAAAGGACAAGCAGTCAGAAGTGGGGGAGGAAGAAAGTCATGAAGCACAAACCATTCAAGTCTGCAGGAAGTTGCAGAGCACAGAGGAAATGGAGACAGGGGAATTGGGCTTTGCCCAGGTGGCAAGACCAGCCTGCTCACACCTCAGGGATGGTGCTGTTACCTTCTGTGGGTTAGCGAGCAGCAGGACTTGTGTGATGGCACTGGGGTGGACAATGGGGTTGAATGCTGGCAGCTCCGTGCCTGAGGGAGGCTGTAGCTTCACCTTCATCACCTAGGGAGAGAGAAGAACACCCCACATTCCTGAGCGGGACTCGGCGGCCAGGGGCCTTGCTCCCTGTATTTGGGGAGCTTCCACTCTCTAGTCAAAGAGAAAAACATTCTGCTGGTTCCTGCTAATTTGAAGGCAACACAACTCACTTGCTGCCCTGCAGAGCTCTCTCCACCCACCACCCGCGCAGCCTTTCCTGCCAAGGGAGAGGGCCACTTCAGCCCAGCCTGGGGACCTCAGCCCCAGCAGCCACCTTACCTTGGGGACGGCAGACTGAAAGACAATGTTGCGGATGGGCTGTGGGGCTGTGCTGAGCATAGAAATCACCACCACCAGCACGTCGGGCCTCTCGGGCAGGGCATCCTTAGCAAAGTGGAAGAGGACACGGAAGCCGTGCTGATCATACACTGTCACAGGAAGGATGCTACCTGTGGGAAAAGCAGGGACAGGCAGCACTCAGCCAGGATGGAACTGGCCCTGCAGCAACCTTTCCCCATCACCCAAACTCTATGCAAGGGACAGATACCACCCCTCTCAACCTCCACGAAATCCAACAAGCCAGAAGTTTCCTCACATTCTTCCCTTCTGTGTGCACATGGTTTATTCCACCTTCTTCATACCCTGTCCAGTTGCTTCTTCCCTGATTTGCCTGACTCCCTTCCAATCTGTCCACCTCCCAAGACTTGCCCCCCTCTTTTGCCCCATCTCACTGGGTTTGATTGACTCCAGAGGCACAGTGATGTTGGCCAGCGAGAGCTCCTGGGGCAGCGTGGTGGCAGGAGGCCGTGGTGGGACTGCAGCACTTCCCACTGGTGACGTGGCAGCTTTTGGAAGCGTGGCAGGGGCAGGTGGCTCCGAGGTCAGGGGCAGCATGGGGTTAGGGGAAACACTCTGAAGCACTGGCAGAGCACCAGGATTGTGGGCTGTGGTGCCCACAGAGCTGCTCCTGTTCTGTAGATCCCTCAGAGTGAGCCGGGGGGGTGGCTGCTGCTTCTCCCTGTACGAAAAGAGCAAGAGAGGGGGCAAGGAGTTGAACAAGGCATTGAAATGTCTGTGTCCAGCACCCCAGAAATGGAAAGGATGGGGAGAAACACGAGATTGCACTACCCCTGCTTACCATCGCATTTGTTGAGACTCTGGAGGCAAAGACTGTTGCAGCAGAGTCTTGCCCAGGAGGTCCAGGTCATCCAGGCCACTGGTGGGAGGAGGTTTGGGGGAGGATGCACCAGCATCTGCTTTGACCGGTGGTATTGCCGTGACAGCGGTGATACTGAGCTCATTGCTGTCTGAGGACTGTAAGAAGAGTCCACAGAAGAGCCCCCAAGAAGGGCTGCATCATCGGATGACCCTGCCTACCCCATTTCCACCCTCCCCACTTTCTGCCCTGGCTCCCAGCACATTACCTGGAAGCTGTTCCAGCCACTGCTATCACCAGCCTGGGCAGGATGTGGTGCTGGGTCATTCAGGCCTGGTTGGGGATAAAAGCAAACATAAAGCTTAGCTACCAAGTGGGCAAAAGCATTAAATGGGGCTTGAATAAGAGACAGAAGCAGCAGCAGAACCACCAGTGTGGTCTCCATCTTTGGCTCCTATCCTTGCATGGGGCAGAGCTGGGAGGGTGATAGTGTTTATTCTGCCCAGAGATCCTCACTTACAATCTAGTTCTCACTGCAATTGACACAGAAGTGAATACTACTGGACTGACAAGCCCAAGTGATCACGTTGTCTGCTTCATGCTGTTGTCCTCAGACCCACCTATCTTGGGAAAGAGACACTTTTCTGGAATAAGTAGGACTCTAAAGCCTTCTAGGACTGGCACTTCACAAGACTTCCATATGAATAGTTCTGAAGTTCCATGTGTCTACTGTCAGCTTGTGACTTCAACTGCAAGGAGTAAACACAAGGAGCTTAGAGTGATCCACTCCTGTGATCCCCCCTAGGAACAGCCACTGCATCACTTTTGATTTACATGCCAGGTCAGTGGCACTTTCCTGCAGGCTCTGACTAGGAAAATACCATGGAACTGAAGTTCAGGAGCATAGCAGGGTCTTTCCCTCCTCCCTTACACTGAATAGAGGTCATCTCTTGACTTCTCATTATACACCTCTCCGAGAACTCTCACCCATTCATGCTCCTGTCACAAGGAGAACCATCCATGGAGACTGCCCAGAGTCCAGCAAGAACAGAGCTTTTTGCTCTGGCATTCTTACCTAAAGACATGAGTTCATCATCCAGCAAGGAGACAGAGGCAGCTTGGTCAGGCAGGGGGACTGCTGAGCCACCTGAAAGGGTGGGCAAGGCTGGGTAGGAAGGGCCTGTTGCTGGAAGATCCAGGCCTGAAAGATCCAGGAGCGCTGAGGTACTGCCTGCAAAGAAGGAACAAGGCGAGAGATGGAAACTTTATCCAATCCTTATCCAGTGTGCTGAGGCCACTTCCCAGCCTTCCTTACACCTGGGAGAGGGAATTACCCCTCTGCTCTCCCTTCCAACTCCCTCTCTTCATGCATCAGTCGCCTCCATATCACATTTCCTCATCTCACCAGCCCCACTCTGATCTCCTGCAGGTTTCACCTTTCCTCTTCTCTCAATCTTTTCTTACACTGAAGGAAGTCAACAATAGGGTCCCTGTGCTCAGCCTTCCTGTCCCATTCCCCAGCTCTCCTCACCTCGAAGGGGACCAGCCACTGTCTCCCCATTGATTTCTTCTCCCCGCACAAGCTGCTTGTAGAGATTAATCACCTGTGTCAGATTGTCATTGGCTTGCAGGATCTCAGCTGAAATGGAACAGGTTTGAGAACTGTGAAGAAACAGTGACTTTTATACCCAAAACTTTGTCTATTCCTTCAAAGCAAGGCCCAGGGAGCTGACAGCAGCCCACTGCAGACAGTGTTCTTGCAATTGCTGATGCAAACTGCACTGGGGTTCACTGACACCCCCGTGGCAGTCTCAGCAGGACAAAATTAAGTGTCACTTCTACTGCAAAGTGGAGGAAGCCTGTGGCGCTGCCGATTGCTGACATGTGCCTCCACTTAGTGCCAAGCCTAACTAATCTACAGCAAGCAGCCACCCCAGACAGAGCAGCAGCTGCTGACAGATGCTATGCCAGGGGCAGCTGAAGCACAGGCTCCCTAGAAGAAGATGGAGGGAGAAGGGGACAGGATGAGAAAGGCCAGGCATGCTTACCCAGAGCTTCATCATTGTCTTCGGTGTCACTGGCGAGCCGGAAAAGCATGGGCCTCATGCGCTCGCAGCGCTGGTACAGCTCCTGAGGGGGAGCAGAACGGGGTGCTGAGGAGAGCAGCAGGTTGTGCACAACAGGCAGGAGGAACTTAGGGGCTAAGGGTCATCCCTCTCTGCTGAACTCGGGGAGGATGCTGGGATGGGCCCTCCTCACCTTCATCAGGTCCTCATTGCTCTCTGTTGTCTCACCCCTGCTGTAGTTTGTCACCATCTCTGTCAGAAGCTTCACATTGTTGTTCACTTCCTCAATCGCATTAACCCTCTTGGAGATCTTCTCCATGCGTTTCTGGTCCTGGAGGGGAAGAATATCCTTGCACTTGTCTGCAACCTGGAGAGGAGGAAGGCTGGGCCAGCTAACACACCAACTCCCTGGACTAAGAAACAGCTACACTGCCTTCAAAACAGCTCCCACTCCAGTGAAAAACTACAAATCATCACTGGGCCAGCACTTGCCAGACGTGAGAGGCCTTGCTGCAGATCTAGAGGTGCAGCAGGGCTTGGGCCACAGAAAGCACCCAGAGCCATTCCTCCAAGTAGCCAAAGGGTGGCAGAAATCACAAACGGACTCTTCGGCAGCTGCTGCCACAAAAATTTGGGCAGAAGCTCCTCTGCATGAGGACAGAGAGCCACTGCTTCCCTGGGGCTAACCACTGCCACCCCAGACCATGACCCCCCAGCTCCCCTTCTCCCCAGCCACACCTCCTGAACCATCTCCTTGATGAGCTTGTTGGCAGCCCGGAGGTCCTCAGGATGGGAACTTTTCAGGAGACGAGCCAGGATCTGCAAAAGAGGAAGCACCTCTGAGCCCATGCTGCAGGCTGGCAGCCAGAGTCATTCTTGCAACACTAGAGCAAATGGAGTTAATCCTCTGCCCCTCTGGCAGAGGCAGGGGACAACACCAGCTGTTGGAAAGCCCAGCTGTGAGAGCTTGTGGGCTATTGGGAGACCAGGGAGAGGAGAAGTACAACTGGTCTTCCTTTTCCCGTTGTGGTTCTGGTTTTGCAAGACAGGTCTTTCCCTGAAGATCTCTTGCATTCAAAACCTGCTCCAGCCTAGCACCATGGAGATCCTGAGCACAGCAGCACCAGTACTGAGAGGAAGCCTGGCTCACGCAGGAATTACCATGGGATTGCAACTGGCTCCTACTCAAACCTCTTCACGTGCCTCTTCCCCTCTCCCTAGTCAGTGAGCAGTCCCACAAGGCCCACTACAAATCCTCTGTGACCCACGGAGGCAAAGTATGTCCCCTGAAGCAAACTGGCATCACATCTCAGCTGCAGAACTAACCCTGAGGAGCCTAATCCTTGCTTAAAACCTTGCACTGATAAAGCAGAGGTATGTTTAAGTGGTGACACAATGCTGACGGGAAAGTAATATAGAATGGGTCCGGGAGGGTATAAGCAGTTGGGCAATAAGCTGATTGCTGGGCTGGGGAAGAGATAACAGGAGCAGCATTTGGGGTTGGGATTTAATCCTCATGGCCAGATAATGCAGAAGACTGGAGATTGTACAGCAGCAACCCTCCCAGAATGTGTCAGCACCTCACCCCTTTGCACTATCCTGCAGCTGAGCACTCCACAGGTCAAACAGACCCACACTACCTATCTCTGGGCATTTCCTTTGTCATGATTTTGGAGTGGGCCCTCAGCATTCATGTGATGCATTTTCTAAAGCACAACATGTGGGTGCAGGGGCCTTGATGCTTACTGGATCTCCACTTCAGCAGCACAGGAGATCCCGGAGTAGGGAATGTGTTGCCTGCTGTCCCTCTCCTTGTGCTGAGCCCTTACCTTGGATTTCTCTTCATCATCAAAGATGATGTTCTTGGGCCGAGGGGGGGGCGGTGGAAACAGAGCATCATCGGGCAGTTTTGGGTCACATTTCACAATCCCTGCAGTAGAGACCAACAGAGAGATCAGGAGGTCTCAGCCACTGGGAGATGGCACTGCCACCTAGGTGATTTCTTCCCTATAGGACCACCAAACTCAGCTGGGGCTGAGGGGTTTTGGGTCTGCTCCAGCTACCCATGATCCTGGATGGCATTTTCAGTAAAAACTGTCTGCCACTCCTTGTAAACATCCTCTTAAAAAAACCCAGCATCAACTGCCAAAGCATTCACAGCCCTCCTGCCCCAGACCTTTCCAGCGACCCATTTCTTGTAGGGAACAAGCACATGTCCCCTCCAACCTACGAGTCTGTTTTGGATTCTGCCCAGACAAAAAAAGAGAGGGAAGGCAAACTGTCCATCCACCTACCCCTTCCAGACCACTGCCTCTCACCTTGCTTCTTCAGCATCTGGTAGGCTTCGGAGATCTTCACCTCGTGAGGCAGCCCTAATGTCCAGCTGTACATCAGCTCCAGGATCTTGGACTTCACTTTTTCTGGTGTCCGGCTGCCAAGATACTAAAGAAAGAGAGAAGAGGTGGCTTGAAGCCGATCTGAGCCGTTGCAAGCCTGGCGTGTCCCTCCCCTCCCCCAGGAGAAGTAAGACCGTTCCCAACAGCACAAGGAGGAAAGAGGAAGCAAGCAGGAAAGCTCATGAGGTCCTTGCAACACGTCCTATGCTGTGCTTGGTTTCCACCACAGGAAAAACAGGAGGTGGGAGAAATGCTCCACCAGCAGCCCCTCAGCAACATGCAAGGACAAGTGGCAAGGCCCAGGTGAGTCTCTGTCACCTTGTGAAGGGAAGGGTACGGCGTACCGAGGGCACTGAGCAAGGCAACCCTCCAGAAACGAGCAGAGAGCAGAGCTGGGAGGGAAGGACTGTGGGTAAATGGGTCCCTGGGACAAGGCCCAGCCCTCTCTCAGGGGCAGACTCCAGCACAAAGTGCTTGGCACCCTTTAGAGCCAGGTGAGTTCCAGACGACCAGCAACCTGAAGGTTACAGCTCTACCTGTGCTGTGCAATCACCCTTCACCCTTCTCCTGTGGGTCTGCTGGGCACTGGTGGCAGGAACAGTGCACAAGCCATCAGAAGCCAGTAACTTTAAGGCAGGGGACATGCTCTTCGGTGCCTAGCAAGAGAACTTCAGGGTGATGCTGCCACTGTCCCTGGCTACTCATTGTCACCGATCACAAAGCTGTGACTGGGAGATGAAGGTTTTCCTTAGTCATATTTAGTCTGTGTTCCCTTAACTCTATCCTTGCTGATGTTAACTGCCTTGACCAAATAGGAGAGCACATACAGCTTGTTCTGCTGCAGGAACAGCAGCATGAGCAGAGGAGCAGGTAATGACTTGGTGCTCCAGATGGACTTGCAAGAGCACCACTGACCAGGCCTAGGCTTGCCCTCTGAGAGTTTCTCAACCAGGCTGGGGCACTCTGGAGAGACATGGTCACAATGTCAAAGCTGAGGGAGGTTCCTGAACACATGCAGCACTGACAGGGCCTGACAGAGATGCAGGGAAGGTGACTCCAGGCACACAGATGAGCTCAGTAGTCTTACAAGTGCTGGTTGCATCATGTCTAGCTGGCCCTCCACCTCCTGCATCAAGAGGCAGCCAGGAGCAGAGGGGTGGATGCTCACCTTCCCACTGGAAAACTCACCAGGGAGCGAGGACCAAATCTCCTACTAGCACTGTCCTATTTCTCCCACATCCCAGTGGGTGTTTGACCCTTCTGCTCAGACACCACTTCTTCCCAAATGCCCTCCTGCCACCGGACTCTGGTCCCCTCTGGCACGACTCCCCAGGACCCACCTTGGGTGACACCACTTTGATGAGCTCATTGAGGAAGCGGAACTTGCCCACCTCGTCGTGGAAGCGCTTGCCACAGCTCTTCATGCAGGACTCCAGCACCTGGGGAGAGGGGCCGGGTGAGCCCCAGCACGGGGTCAGCAGCAGGGTCAGGAGCCAGTTCCCTCCTGCTCTCCCCTCGCCGGGCACAGAGCCTGTGGCCACCCTCACAGCCATGTGGAGGGACACCACCTTTTCCTCCCAGGTGGCCAATCACCCTCCCAAAGGAAGAAAGATTTTCCTCTTTGGAGGAAACAACAGCCCCTGGCAGGGGATATCCTTAGAGAGTTCACATTGTGGTTGTGTATCCACAGAGAGTTCAATATTGGGGTTTCACAGCATGGACCTACAATGACATTAAGGGAACAAAAAGCTTCCCATTGACTGCAACAGCCTAGGATTGTCCTTGGAACAAGACCTTTCCTTCCAATCACCCCTCCTCTCTTGTGGAACCACCTTCAGCCCCTCTCCCATCCAAGGGCTCAGGTGCTCCAGGGCTTTCTCAGAGGGAGTTCCAAGCCTCCCTTGCTCCTCCAGTTCAACTAGAGCAACCCCACACCCTGACCCTCCATCTAGTTCTACCAGCCTGCAGATGCCCTTACCGTGAGGGCCTGGATAGCTTCCCATTCCTGTGGAGACTGGATCTTGTGGGCAAGAAGTCGGGTAGCAAGTGGAGGACTGGAAGGAGCAGGGGGAAGAAAAAAAAAGGTCACCAGTTATGGATGGAAGGCCTGGTACCTGTGATTCTAGGTAGGAATCCAGGGTTGAAAAGCCTGTTGCAAATTTAAGGCACTGATAAGGGACTAAAACCCTGTGGGAACCTTCTGTCAGTAGACCAGGACCCCCCACCCACCTCTACTTTGCAGGGCTTCATACTTATTCAGCTCTCAGGACAACCCCACTGGACCTTACCAGGTGAGCAACCATAGCCCAGGCCTATGATCAGGAGCGGCCTGGGGAAAGGAAGCAGCACTTACCCCTCTAGCTCCTTATTGAGCTGCTCACAGAAAGCGTTGATACCGTCCCAGTCCAGGTCCTTGTTCAGGGGGTTTGTCGCTTTGTCTGCAGGGAGGGGGGAAAGGGATGGTGAGCAAGTCCCGCCAGGCTCCCACCCTCTGGGCTCCCCCTCCCTCTTTGCCAGCATGGAAAAACACACTTGTGCGAGCCCGGGAGCACAGAATTCCCCCTGCCCCCCACAGCCCCCCGGGGTGCTCAGAGCCGCCC